TTAATTCAAAATCTTCAGGCATTGATGAAATTCAACATGTCACTTTTTGTATGAGATGACCCAAGACTTTAAAGCCTGTGTGTGGATTTTCTCATTAGTCTCAAAACCTGGAGTTGTACTTTTTCTTTGTTGTGAACACATATTTCTTCTAGAAGGAAAAAGCAAAAGGTGGGCATCAGGAGTAGAATTTAGGAAAAGATACTTTTAGAGAGTGTATGGTCTCTGCAGAAATAGAATCTGAAGCACCCCCTTTAAAGTAGATTTTATCTGTGTCAGCTTTAGATAGGCAACTCATCTGTGTGGAAGTGCAGAGTTCCCTGTATCCCCACCCCAGCACATGTGTCCTGTGTTTTTAAGAATTGATGTTTCTTGATTCTTTTTTTTTGGCGGAACCAGTGATTGAACTCAGGCCCTTGCACTTGCCAGGCAAGCACTTACTCTACTGAGCTATCCTCCCAGGCCCTAATTAGCTATTCTTATTTTGAAAATCTGTAACATATGTATTGTTGTATGTTACCCTCTTTCTGTCTTTGTTTCTGCTGTTTATTTGTGCTTTTGTTTTTACTCTTCAAAATAAAATTAACCAAAAAAAAAAAAAAAAAGAACTCATATTAGATGTGTAGCATGTGGCATATAAGATATGCTCTGAGAATTTATTCAGACTTAATATATTAATTTATTCATTCATCTGCTCACATAATCAACAGACATTAAGTGGCAACAGTATCTGTGGCATCCAATAGGGTTAAGTACTGCCCACTAACAGTTATTTAGACTGAAATTAAAAGGAAACGAAAAATTAGTTCTTCACTTGCACTGGGCAGATTTTAAGTGCTCAAGGGCCACATGTGTCTAGTGGCTCCTCTTGGACAGCGCAGATACGGGATATTCCTAATGCCAGAGTTATATTGCATAGTGGTGAGTCTGCTATGTTTCAAGCAATGTCTTAGGTACTGCACACATTGTTAATTTTTAATTTTTTTTTTTTTTTTTGGTGGAACCGGGGATTGAACTCAGATCCTTGCATTTGCCAGTCAAGCGCTTATCCTACTGAGCCATCTCCCCGGCAATTTTTAATGTAAAGGGTACTTTTAGGGTGTATACTTGAATTTTATAAGACAAATGGGAAAATGTTTTTACCTTAGTGCTCTATATTTTGTACATTTTTTAACTTAATATTTAATATTGTTCACTTTTCAGAATCCTTGCTACTGTCTTCATGAGAGGGTAAAATTTTGTGTGGCTGAATTATTGTCATGAAGAATGTCTTTTATAGGTTTTGAATGTAGTGCCTGTGTTCCTTTGCTGTCTGGGAATAACTGTGGGAGGTTTTGTGTCAGGGATGGGCTTGTATGGGCTTTCCTTTGGAGTTTCAGTTTGATAAAGCAAATAAAAAGAAGCATTATTTATAGTTAGAATAAAAAAAGGCAAAGTTTAGGGTATTGGGTTGTTAAGTAGAGCAGTTCAGAGACTTTTTTCTGGTGAAATTGAAGGTATCATCTCTTATTCATTTACTTGACCTTCATGGTATTTACAGTCTTTATAAGCAAGACTCTTTAACTCTTGACTACTCTGCTAATCTTACTAGAAGTAAGAAATAACCAACGACACAATATTACTGTCATCATTTATGCAGAGCAGCTTTAACTCTAATGTCATTATACTTGGTTCTGAGTTGTGAAGATCATTAAAGAGTATGAAGACACCCAGCAAAGAGCGGGGGGCTATTTTCATTGACTTTGTGAGTCCTGTTTGGCCTCTAAAAGTGGTATTGTTAGTGTTAATTTTGTAAGCTAAGCAGTGTTTTGCTTAGTTACAGCTGCAGTGCTATTAATGTTTTCAAGATAATGGCCATGAAAAGCCGTGGTCTTCCTGTTCTACCTGGGATGATGTTTTATTTGTGGGTAATTTTCTTTTCAGACTAGGAGGAAATCTCAAGAGACAGGATGGTGTGTATGTGAGTGTGTGAATCCAGTCTCTCTTGGGAAGGTACATGAAAGGGATTCCAAAGCTTTTGGAGCTATTCTCTTGGACTCCAGGACCTCTTTAGAGATTGGCTTAGTGTGGCATAGCAAAGCAGAAGCGTCTTCTAATGGAAGTAATTAACCAGAAGCTCCAAGGTCAGGACTGCACGTTGTAAGTGACAAAGTCCAGGAAAGGTTTGGTGAGTCGTGTTGGAAGCCAAGAGAGAAGTGTAGCATGCAAGGATAAGAAAGGTCATAATTCTTGAAAAAGGCGATTCCGTGGCTTCCCAGAGAGAAAAAGCTGTTCTTTAGTTTCTCATCAGTATGGAGAATAAGACAAATGGAGACTTCCTGCCGCCTGCAGTGACTGATCAAAATTCATCTGGGAAGCATGACGTAAATGCCACCTGGTCCTTTGTGTTTGCCTTGTGATCTAATGTCAGCTGACATTTTTCACCATTTTATATGTAGACTTCCAAGGGAAAAGAAGGCAAAGTTGAGTTGTACCAAAATTAGAGCTCTAAGGTTGCTTATGGTGCAAGAATCAGAAAGGATAACAGGGTACTACTCGGGAGAGCCAGTGAAACTTTCTATGAGTCCAGTTGACTTCGAATATAGCTATACAAAAATAAGGAACCATTATTAACAAACCAGCAGCTCCACGTTGTGAGCTCTGTGACCAAACCATTTAGAGATACGTGAGGGACATTCAGAGGAACACTGTGACAATATTGGTATGAGGCACCTGTTCTAAGACACCAGTGCTCTCTAAATGGAGAGGTGGAACAAGCAAATGTGAAAGAAATCTTGGGGGCTTATATTGAAATATAAACAACTTACTCCAAAGGAATAGTGACGCTTTACGTTTTAGAAAAGAAGCCTTTTCGAAGCCTTTTCAAATCCTGTGGCTATTCTACATGTGAGAGTGGTTGAGTAGAGCTCCATTTTTGTGGATACCATAAGGGCCAGCATGGTTGTATGAAGCTTCTTAGTAACTAGGAAGCCATGCAGAGGCGACCAGAAAGAAAAGGAATAGGTCAAAAAGTCGGATGAATGTCAGAAAGAGAAAGTTGCATTAAAACAGTAGGTCTCAGAGTGTTTGCAGACCGTTGGGAGGTGTCTGATCAGTTTCAGGAGTCTATGAGGCCAGAACTGTTTTCTTAACAACACTTAAGGATTATCTTTTTTTTTTTTTTGTGGTTAAAAAAAAAAGAAACATGACATTTACTGTCTTAACCCGCAGTACAGTTCAGTAGCGTTAAGTGTATTTACACTGTAATATTCAGTGAGTGGTAGGAAGGATGGGATCTAGAATCTTGTCAAAGAGATGTAGAAAGGGGTGATTTTCACAGAAGTGAACAGGGAAAGGTTTGTGAAGCGTGTGAAGAAGAGTCTGTGGTGGGAAATGAAAAGCCCTCTCTGAGCTTGCTTGTTTTCATTTATTTAAATCTGTCAGTATTTGCAGAACTCTGTAGCTTGCACACAGACTTCCTCAGAGTTCTTGTGACAGCAGTGAGCTGTTAGGAGCTGATTGGTGGATCCTGAGCCCATGGCAGCCCAGTAATTTGATTAGAGTGGGCGGGTACACGGGGAAGCAGAATCTTGAGGAATGTGAACTTTTCTAGTGTGTCCCAGAGTTTTACCACCTACTTAATTAACTTGCTTCTATTTCAGACCCATAAAAATATTTTTTCTGAAAAAGAAAACTGAGGAAGTCTGTGTGCAAGCTACAGAATTCTCGCAAATACTGACAGATTTAAATAAATAAAAACGGGCAAGCTCAGAGAGGGCTTTTCATTTCCCACCACGTATTTCCATTAACTTGCTTCTATTTTAGACCCAGGAAATTTTTTTCTCTCTGCTCCTACCTTCTGCCATAATTTGTGGTCTTGTGTTGAAGGATAAATGTATGTTGTTTTTTGTTTTTTAAAAAATGCATTTACATTGTAAAGTAGGCTAGGTATTTGGTTCTACTTTTTGATTTCAGAACTACTTCTGAATGCTCTTTTCATTAAGCTCTCTTTTCTGTCTAAAGCAAGAAACTCAGTAGTCTGCATAGCAGTGTGAAATCAAGAGTAAACAGGCTAGATTGGTTTGAGGGGTGTGGGCTATAGTTTAGTGTTCTGATTGGATATGGATTTACAAGAAGCTAATAGTATCTACATTTTAAGTTCTACTTGCATGGGCTCCTTTTGTATTGTAAGTTGTCTTGTCCTTCTTTCCTTCCTTTCTATTTCTTTATTATTTTTTTCTTTTTTTTAAAGAAGCCTACCAGATTGTATTAATTTCAGGCTTCGTAGTCAGGTTCTTAAGTCTTCCTTGTAAGGGTCTGGGACATCTAGGAGTTAACTCTAAAGAAAATGATGGATGAATATAGTAGACCTGAGAAAGGGAATTTAGGTCTGGTGGGATAGCTCAGTGGGCTAAGCGCCTGCCTGGCTAGCACAAAGACACGGATTTGATCCCCGTTACTGCATACTGATCCTGGGTGCCACATACTGTGCTGGCCCCAAGACAGGGCATGGTGGTGCACATCTGTAATCCCAGCACAGGGGAGGCTGAGACAGGAGGGTCACTATGAGTCTGAGCTGTGTAGTGAGACCCTGTACCAAATAAATGAATTTTTAAAAACAGGGAATTTAACTATAATATTTGAAAAAAAATTCACAGCATACCTATCGGAGGATTTATCCAGACAATTATGATCTCATTCTGTAGTACTAGTTATTCAGATCTTAAGGAATTTAGAAGGTAAAGTTATAGCCTTTATACCATGCAGTTAGGTGTTTTTGATTCTGACAAGTTTTAATATTAAAATCTTGATGCTCAGAAGCATTTTACCAGCTCTTAGCCCACTTTCTTTCTAGAAACAGGACATGAGCATGTCCTGTTTGCTTTCCTAATATTTGCCTTTGCAGTAGTGACAGCACGGAACTACTTAATCCCCTGACAGTAATGAAAGGCTTATGAACCAATGAGGTAAATGGTGATGCCTTTTACGGACCTGCCTTGATTTCTCGTTTTTGCCTGATTTAGGTATTTGGCTCGGGTAGGGGAGCTTGAAGCTACTGACACTGAAGACCCAAATCTGAATTACGGACTTGTGATAGACTGTGGTAGCAGTGGCTCCAGGATTTTTGTTTACTTCTGGCCAAGACATAATGGGAACCCCCATGACTTGCTGGACATCAAACAGATGAGAGACCGCAACAGCCAACCTGTGGTTAAGAAAATCAAGCCAGGTACTAATCAGGATATATAGCATTTTGTCATTAATCTCCTTTGAGAGAGGAGAGAAGAAGAAGGGGAGGAAGAAAGCTACCCTTTTCTCTGTGGGAGTCTGGTGGGAGGATGTGTTAGCGTTCACTTTGCTGGAACAAAACATCTAAAACCGACAACGCGAGGCAGATGAAGGCCATTTTGGTTTATAGTTTTGGTGGGTCCAGTCTGTGTCAGTTGGCTCCAAGGCACCAACAGCATGGCAGAGCAGCGTGGTGGAGAAAGGCAGCATGCTGCATGATGGCCAGGAGCAGAGGGAGAGGGAACAGCTAGGACTGAGCGTATCCCCTTCCAGTTCATGCCCCCAGTGAGCCACCCCTGGCCAGGCCCAAATGTAAGAATTTGGGGCCATTTCAGGTGTGACCCATAGCAGAGCGGTACTGCATTCATTGTCTCCCATGCCTCTCAGATAAATCAACCTATCGGACCTCAGGTAGAACGTCAGTTTTCTGAATTTGTACTTGGCTTTTTAAAGAAAGTATTTTACTTTTCTTAAGGGATCTCTGCGATGGCAGACACTCCAGAACATGCCAGCGATTACCTTCGTCCTCTGCTCAGCTTTGCTGCTGCTCACGTCCCTGTGAAGAAGCACAAAGAGACGCCCCTGTACATCCTCTGCACCGCAGGCATGAGGCTTCTTCCCGAGAGGTGCCATGCAGGGTCTGGGAGTCAGGAAAGTGGGTGTACAGGGCTTGAAAGACTTGATTCTGTGCATCACCCTCGGGTTCCCTAGTCTTCACATAGATGTGGGTGCACCGGACAGAGCTCACAGTAGAAAGAAAAACTTCTTTCGCAGGAAGCAAGCAAGAGCCACCCTTGTCCCTAGTTGTTTCATAGTCAGTTTTTTTTTTTTTTTTTTAGTGTATTTGGTACAGGGTCTCACTACCCAGATCGGACTAGTAGTGATCCTCCTGTTTTCAGCCTCCCCACTGTTGGGATTATAGGCATGCACCTCCATGCCCAGTCTCAGTGGTGGTTCAGGGTGCCTGAGGGGTGGTCTGGCATGGCATATAGTACTGGGGATCAAACCCCAGTCCTAGCGCTTGCGTAAGCAGATGCTTAGTCCACTGAGCTGTCTCGCTGGCCCTTGTTTCATAGTGAGTTGATCATACCTTTACATCATTTACTTCTTAGGTTGTAGTAATTCCTTTTTTTTTTTTCTTTTGTATTTTAGGGAAGGGTCTACAGGGTGTTCAGGGTCTCACCACTAGATTGGACTTGTAGCAATCTGCCTGTTTAGAGCCTCCCAAGTGCTGGGATTACAGGCGTGTGCCATCATGTTCAGTGTCCAGTCTCAATTGCCATTTCAGCACTCCCTAGGGGCGAGGCCAGCACAGCAGGCCCTAGGATCAAACCCCCGGCCCCTGCGCCTGCTGGCAGCCCCTTTAATCTGCTAAGCTTGTTGGCCGGCCCAAGTAATTCCTAAGTTTGGGTTGAGTTTTGGGAGTGATGGTCATTGTATTTGAATTATGGAACACACAGAGGGAGGACACGCTTACAGAGGGTGATGAGAAGCCCACCTGAGGATCGGATGCCTGTGGGGGCTCTCAGGAGAGCTTGCTCAGCAGTGCTGCTTTTTCTGTAACACTCTGGGTCGGGGGATGACCCGTGGGGACTGCCTGCTGGTGCTCCAGAAGGCTCAGTCTTCATTGCTTAAGACCAGTTTTCTCAGCCCCAGCCAGTCACATCTTTTCCATTCAACTACACCAGTTCAGCCTGACGTCTTGCCCACCACTTCTCTTTCCTACATGAGAAAAAGGGAAGGAGGAAATTGAGAAAGAAGAAGAGGAGGTTATATTTAGGTCAGGGCACTCCTTGTTTGTGAGTTTCCCCTTTAACACCTAAATCCCCCTGCCTTTAATTATGGCATGGGGTGGGAATGAACTCCCTGAATTTCGTTTTTCTGTGTTTTTTTATGTAAAGTGGTAGGAACATTTAACATGAGTTCAGTCCTCTTACCACATGTTCAAGTGTACGATACAGTTAGCTCTGTGTGCAGCGCTCTGCAGCGTGTGTTGTGGCCACCTTATAATGCTCAGCTGAGCCTTTATGCCCGTTATTCCTCTTAGTGTAATGTCCATTTTGTTATATATTGCAGTTTCCTGCTTTTTGGTACTAAATAGTATTCCATTATATATATATACAGGACCACACTTGCTATGAACAGTTAGGTGTTGCCACATCTTGGTGAATGTAAATGATGCTGCCCTGGATGCGAGAGTGCTAACATATCTTTCAGATCCCAATTTTAACTGTTTGGAATAATCGCTTAGAATAATCATGGCAATTCTATTTTTAATTTTATTTCTTTGTGTTAGGGATTAACTCCAGAGCCTTGCATATGCTAAGCAGATACTCTACAATTGAACTACATTCCCAGACCTGTTTATTTATTTATTTTTGGTGGAACCAGGGATTGAACTCAGACCCTTGCTTATTCTACTGAGCCATTTCCCTGGCCCTTCTCAGACCTGTTAAACTCCATTTAAACAGTTTTTGAGGAATCTCTGTATTGTTTTTCATGGCTGCCATGCTGTATTACATTCCTACCAACAATATGCAGAGGTTCCAAGTGCTCCACACTCTTGACAACATTTGTCTTTTGTTTTTCAATGATGGACTTCTTGATAGGTGTGAGGTATCTGACTGTGGCGTTGATTTGCATGTCCCGATAAGTTGTGACCTTAAGCAGTTTCCCATGTGCTGTACTCACTGGCTGTTTGTCTTTGGAGAAATGGCAAATGTCAAGTCATTTTATTTTGTTATTTATTTATTTATTTTATGGTGGTACCAGGGATCGAACTCAGGACCTTGCGCTAGCCAGGCAAGCACTTATTCCACTGAGCTATCTGTCAAGTCATTTTAAAATGAGGTTCTTTGGATTGTTTTTGCTATTGAGTTGTAAGAATTTCTTTCATATCTTGAAGAGTAGCCCCTAATCAATGTGGTTAGCAAGTATTTCCTTCCATCTGTAGCATGCTTTTTGACTCTGTTAATTGTTGCTTTGGCTGCGCAGAAGAGTGTCATAATAATGAGGCCATTGTCCATCTTAATTTAAGAGGTCAGCCTCCAGGAGTGTTCATAATGTCCTAGGCATTTCTTTCTTTCTTTGTTTCTTTTTCTTTTGGTCTTTTTGAGACAGGATCTTGCTATACAGTTCAGCTTGGGCTTGAGTTCACTTTGAAGCCCAAACTAGTCTCCAACTTGCAATGATCCTCCTGCCTCAGCTTCCCCAGTGCTGGGATTATAGGTGTATGCCACCACACCTGGCCAGACATTTTTTATCCTTTTTTTTTTTTTTTTTCAGTTCTGGGGATTGAACTCAGGACCCTGCACTTGCCAGGCAGGTGCTTATTCTTCTGAGCTATCTCCCCAGCCCAGGCCAGGCATTTTTTATTAGCTTAAATATTTTCCACTGATGAATAGCAACAGAATAGATGGCTGTGGTGGTACATGCCTAGAGTTTCAGCACTCTAGGAGGCTGAGGCAGAAGGATTGCCAAGTGCAAACCTGGTTTAGGCAACTGTGTGACTTATCAAGACTGTCTCAAAATAGAAAATAAAAAGAGTTGGCCTTTTCAGCTGTGAGTGCAAAGGCCCAGAGCTCAATCCCTGGTGTTGCCTAAGTAAATAAATAAGGGAAAGATAAAGAAAGCAACTCTCAGCAACAACAAAACCCTGGCTTCATGCTTTCTGCCACACACGCCAGACAATATAACACGTATCAACACTTCTCTCAGTGGAATTCTTTTCTCCTGTTTAGACTCACACAGCTCATATTTTATTGTCTGCTTTACTGCTGAGAAGCACATTATTTTTATAACCATGTATCAACATGATAGGCCTTCTAGTTCCTTGTTAATTTCCTTATATGTCTTGTTCTTTAAATTTTTTCCTTTCGTATTTACTTATTTTTAAAACCAAGCTTAAGGGCTGGTGAGATGGCTCAGTGGTCTAAAGCACCTACTTAGAACAAGCTTAGCAAAGCACAGGGACCGCGGTTCAATCCCCCAGCACCACATGCCA